GCCGCTGGTGTTTTAGGGCGTAATTGGTGAAGGGAAGACTGTGAATTATCTTTGATATCTTTTTCACCCTTCACGTTATATTATCCCTTCTCACTCTCACTGCTGCGCATGTATTGCCGCATGCGAGAATTTCTGTGAGAGCTTCTTCTGACAGATAACAAGAATCTATATCTATATCTATACTTCTTCTATCTTCTAAAAAGAGAAAACAAGTGTCAAAACTTTTGCATACCCATTTTGCCCTTTATAAATTTCTTAATTCTAATTTTACCCTATATTTTAATCCTTTTTACCTTTATTTAGCCATTTCCGTGTAATTTTTGTTTATTAAATGAGTACGCCTCTCTTTCTTCCCTTCGTTATCCGCCCTCTCCCCTGCCCCTCTCCCTCTCTCATCGATAACGCCCAACTCTCCTTCTTCACTTCCTAATCCGCTCTCTCTCTCTCTCTCCTGCCCCTCTCCCTCTATCTATCTCTAAATTAATTCAACGTTCGGCCTCCTCACTTCAGATTCCTCCTCACTTCAGATTCCTCCGTTTCTTCCGTTTTCAAGCGTACAATGTATATGTCCTTCCCTCAGATTCGTGTGTTACTATAATTGGTAAGAATTGCCTAGGAATTTACGTTATTTTGTGATTCTATAAATACGTCATGCTTCAATTTTAATTTTAATGGAGCAAAGAAGGTGTTTATTTCCAATTGTAAGTATGAGTATCAATTATTCTTATTACCTTATTGTAATTTCTTTTTCTTATTATTCGGCTGATTTGATGATGGCTTACCTTTTTTGGTTTTGATTTGATGATTGTCGCGGTCAGAGGTCTGAGATTGATAGGAGGAATAGAAAGCTATCAAAGTAAATTAAATTTTTATTTTATTTCTATTATGTTGCATGACAAGTTTAGGAAATTCTTTTTATTTGGAAGTTATTTCAGATCAATTTGGAGATTCATCAATTGGTAGTTCAATAAGGTTAAAAGGGAGGAGTTTAATTCACCAGTTTATGAGCTAGAACCTCACGTTTTGCTGATTCAAAACAAATTTTGGTAGTTCAGACCTTATATCTCCACAATAGTTGGCATTATTAGCACATATAGGTGGTATTATTACTTTCTGCTGAAATTCAATGTGATACAACATAGAAATATTGTATTGGATGATAAAGGGGACATGCACTTATCGAGATTCGACAGAATTACTTCTGTGATATTTTCCCTGAACGCTCGGCAAACTGAGGACCTTAACATGTGCATCCTTCGTATTTTGATTCATGTTGAACTGCTTGATATGCTTGCATATATATCCTGTTCACCTATGTTCACTCCTCAGTCCTATTGACAAATTAATCTGTCTTTTTGTTTGTACATGTGGAACTTCAAGGTTCTTCACATTGAGATGTTTCACTCTACATTCTCCATCTGTTTCCCATTCCCAGACTATCGTATCTGTACCTTAACATCTGCTTGATATGCTTGCATAAATGTGTGAATGCTAACACAAACGCAATGTAAGGACACAATTTTGCCAGAACATGTAATTTCCTTATTGGGTAAAAGTTGCGCTGTGTACATCTTTGTATGGGGATGCGTGTGTGTGGTTCATGTATCTGCAGCTCTATATGTCAAGTGGCAATCTTTTGAAAGGAGTTTGCAATCATAATCAAAGTGCATCTAAAATTTTAAGGTAGAAACATTGTAATCGCTGGTTTCAAATCCCTCCAATCTCTGTTAATAAAAAAAGTAAGGAAACAAGTCCTTCAAGTAGTGTGGAACTAAGCAGAGTGAGTGTAATGGAATCAAGTTGAGATGGTTGTAGTTTTCATCTGACCATGAACAATAAATAGTGATATCTCCTTGCACATCATCTACTTTTTAGTCTCTTCAATGAGCAATTCATAATTTTTCTCATCTGGTGATTGCTTTCAGAAAAACCAACATATCACATTACATGGTTTTAAGAATTTAGTCCTCCTATTTACTTCAATGTGAGTGTGCACAAGGTTTGACATAGGTGGTTAACAGTTGTTAATATCTGATTGATGATATGTGATTATCCTGTAATAGCAACATATGTTGAATCTTACTGGTCCTTCCATTTGTTGCTGATGACTGATCCCTTCTTGCAGTCCCGCATTTTGAAAAGATGTGGTATGACCAAGGGCAGCTTGTTAATGCTTATCTGGATACATTTTCAATCACCAAAGACATCTTTTATTCATCAGTGGCACATGATATTCTTGATTTTTTAAGGAGAGATATGATTGGAGCAGAGGGTGAAGTATTTTCTGCAGTAGATGCTGATAGTGTTGAACACGAAGGTGCTTCAAGAAAGAAAGAAGGTGCATTTTATGTTTGGACGAGCAAAGAGGTCAGCCTAACAATTTATAGGTTATTTTATCTATATACATAATCCTTGTCTCATGGTACAGTGCTTAAGATGAAATTTGATTCATTCTGAATTAGAACTGTTGCTATTAAAGATTGATTGGACAAGCTGCAGCATCCTCCTTTTTTCATATCCAACTTATAGTTGAATGATTGTAGGCTGTCTAAAAATCACAATGGATAGTTGAGTCTCCATCAAACACTGATGATGGAAGTTACAATCAACTGAGATTAAAGAAATACAAATCAATTTTTCTTTTATTTCTTTTTCTGCAAATTTTTCCACAAACAATGATACATTATGAATATGTCTGTCATGTTCTATATGAATATAGAACATAGTGTATATATAGAGTATGGAGTTTTCCTATCTACCATGGCCTTGATGTCTAACATTTAGAACACTCCTTGCTGAAGTGTTTTCGTCTCAGCAATGTGACTTATATTTAGTGTGAGGCCAGCTATGATGTGTGATTACAAAATAAATCCATGTACTGTGCTTCTTCTTGTCTCTATTATTTACATACTGCTCCATACCTCTTGTACCTTGTCACTCAGTATGTCCAGTTGTTAATCAAAGACAATTAAGTGGAAATAGTTTCTAAAACAATTATCCTTTTGTTGCAAGGAAAATGTATTCAATATACGTTTTTTTAGTTGTAGAAAGGTTTATTTATTTGTATTTCCAGGGACTGTACAAATATCTTCCTCGACATGGATAAGTACTCCAATTTTCTGCTACAGAGGTGCTATAATGTGACAAGTTTTATGTATACGTACACCATGTGTTTTTGCTCATACAGCCACCACATGTAACAGACATAGAACTCGCATTAACATTATTTTGCTACTGAGGAAAACATATGCAAGGAGGTTCTAAGAAAGTACTCTTCATGGAAAAAATCATTTGAGCAGTGATAGTTATTTCATAGCTCTTGCAGAAGTACCCAGGTATCGTATGGTATGTTATTTTGTTGAACTTTTATACGGTGCTTTTACCTTGATGTCACAACCTTAAGTACATTTTCGATTTTGTTCATTTAGTTCTTCATTGCTTTCATCAAAGGAACTCATTTCCTTGTATAAATGTTTTTCTTTAGTATTTTCTGCATCACTTTCTAAAAAATATTTAAAACTTTTCACCATGTAATTTGAATTTCTTTCAGTTGTTTTTATACAGGTCTTGTTTAGTTATTACTTGTCTCGAGATTTGCAATCAAATTGACTGAATATAATTCGTCAATTCTCTAATCCTCTTTAGTGAATTTTACCCTTGAAGATTAACAAGGTTGTTGGAGAGTATGCTAACCTGTTTAAGGATCACTATTATGTTAAAGCATCCTGAAATTGTGACCTTTCTAGAATGAGTGATCTTCACAATGAATTTAAGGGGGGAAAATGTGCTTATTGAAAGGAAAGATGTAAGACTGCATTTGTTATGGGTTATAATCAGATACGTGTTAGGGTGATTCCCAACTTGTCCACAATCAGGTATCTGAATTTTCTATTTTTTGAAAATTTAAAATTAATGTTAGAAGGTTTATTTTTTGTGGTCCTAAATTAAAAGAGGGATAAGCGAATAGTTGGCTATCCAATTTTTTTTTTAAAATTTATCAATGTTAATTTTTTTTTGGCCATTGCTCTATTAGAGTAGTAAACTTAACGACATCATAAATTTTGCAATTTCAAACAATTAATTAATTTCTTTTTTGATTTATTTTTGGATTATGTAGTATAAAATGTTTAGTTGGCTCACCTTTGTGTTGTTCATTTCATATGTGCGCACTTTCCCTTAGTAATAAACTCACTTCTAATATCGGTGCAAGGGCACTGGCAAACCAGGAACGAGAACATGTCTAGATATTACAGCGAGGCTCAGCAATTCAGGAGCCAGTTTAAGTCATTGGATATGGAGCGTGTTCCAAGGGTATGAAAAATTTCTTTGTTTAAACTCGGAGCATATTACTTGCATTTCTTTGATTTACACTAACTCAAAAAATTTTCTACAATTATTGGATATTCAATCTTCATATATGCGAGAGAGAGAGAGAGAGAGAGAGCGAAGTGTAAAACAATATAGAATTAGCTATTAATATGAGTGAACATCTATTTTGCCTACCTCCTACTCGTGATATATTTATTTGTTCTTAAATTTCAACTACGAAATTGAGACTTGGCAGCTTGCTTGTTTGTACCACTCAATCTTCACTTGAGAATTTCTGAAAGGTATATATTGGTATTTTTCCTTTTTGTACATGCCAAATTGTTTAAAGATTAGATATAAAGAAGAGAATGTTCCACATTTTTCTTGCGCAAAGGTTTTAGCGAGCGTCTTCCTAATTTCAGTGAACTAATACAAAAACTTTGATTGTTGTTTGTCTACTTTGGGTTTTATTTGTTCTCAATCTTTAGAAACCAAGCACTCAATCTTCAGTTTAGTATTTCCGAAGGTATAGCTTGGCATTTTTCCTTTTTGTACATGCAAAATATGTCAAATTCTTTGAAGATCATCTATAAAAAAGAAAATGTTCTACATTTTTCTGGCGAAAAGGTTTTATTGAGCGTCTCCATAATTTCAGTGAAAACTAATACATAA